TATTCGGAGGAAGACTGTAGCCAGGGGTCAGCCCGGTAGCATCAAGACCGAGCTTTGCTTCTTCGATGGGCCAGTCACTGTGCCTCCCCTCCGGTGGTGGTCCCCTCCCCCTATGAACATCCGCAGTCTCTGCTCAATGCCACTCAGGGGGACCAACAGCCTATCTCTCTAGGTGGCCCCCGCCAGGCTTGCCAAAGAGGGTACATGAGGCCAAAATATGGGGATTGATTCCAAAAAAAAAAAAAAAGAAAAAAAAAAAGGGGATTGGACCCAAGATGGGACCCAAGACCTCCTGAATGCCACTTGCGTGCCTTAGCCAGTGAGCTAGGCCGCGGGATCCATTTGGAAATTGGGGGTCGTATATGAATTTGATAATAATTTACTAATAAATACAAAGCTTTTTTATCAAGTTATGGTCCAGATACAATGTCATGTAGAACGTTGTGCGGTGGAGCAAGAGGCCTTTACCTTTGCGGGAAAAAAAAAAAAAAAAAAAAACAGGGATTGTGATGGGGACAAATGCCATTGGGCAGGCCTCCTTTATGGCTGCCAGATAAGGTTCTAAGGGCCTTGCTCGACTGCAAAACGTTCTGCATGTATCTGGACCAAAGAAATGGCTTGATCAGTCCGGATGCATCTGTTACGTAATACAGACTGTATACATAGTGTTTACCACTGGAGCCAGGCCCTAAGACGTCTTTGTGTTCATGACTATGGCCCTCGCTCCACTACTGACAGTGTTATAACTGTAGACATCCACAAAATTAATGACAAGAATCATGATGGTGGTGTTTTTTTTTTTTTTTTTTTTTTGGAATGGTGGTGTATCTTTGCATGCTCTAGCCGAAGCTTCACTCTCGTTTCGCACGTTTCGAGGGAGTCACAGGATGCACAGATACTCAACTGTAAGTCAAATCATTATTATTCAAATTAAATTTAAAATCAGGAAGAGTCAGTTACTTTCTTTCCAAAAAAAAAAAAAAAAAAAAAAAAAAAAGTTACCCTTCCAGCTTGAAGTTCGTAAACAATACCCCAAACGTAGTACCCACCCCACAACCACTTCCCTATAAATCAGGCGAGATTCCGTCTCTCTCTCTCTCTCTCTCTCTCTCTCTCTCTCTCTCTCTCTCTGTGTGTGTGTGTGTGTGTGTGTGTGTGTGTGTGTGTGCTTTTCATCTTCCTCTCTTGCGTGCTTGCATTTGTGGCTCTGAGGGAAGTGGTGTGT